ATGATTCGTTGAAGTTTCTTGCAAAGAAATTCACTGAATCAGTCTCTCTAAACCCCTCCTTTCCGTGAGCCCTCACTGCTGTGATTGGTCAGATGGCGCAGTCCTTTGTGATTGGTCCAGAGCCGTAGAGGGATTGGCTCTGGATTGGTCTACCGTGTACAGCGCGTGTCGGAAACGAAACACCCATTGCCATGACGGAATGACAGCCCTGGAGACTTGTCAATACATAGAAAAGATGGTATCGATTGTACCTTACCAATTCGAGCCGGAGTCTGATGATGAAATGGTTGAAGTGGCTGATCAACAAGAGACCGATTCGCAAGCACGACTGGAGCAGGACGTTTCTTAGTGGTAAGTGTCAAGTGTTAACAAGTTTGTGGTAATTATAAGATGTGATCAAACAAATTTACTCTCACAGCGTAGGATATAGCGTCTTCTCGACATGATGTTAAAGGGTTAGTTCACCTAAAAATGAAAATTCTGTCATTAATTACTCACCCTCGTGTTGTTCCAAACCCGTAAGACCTTTGTTCATCTTCGGAACACAAGAACTGGAACCGGCTCGAACTTTTAGAAAACACGTCACTAATCGGTGGCGGTTTATTCCTTTTCACTGCGTCTCATATGTTTTTAAAGGCAATCTGTGTGATGGGCAATTCGGCTCTTTGTATTAATTAGCAATGCATAAATACGTGATGCTGTTTTGTTCATAATTGTGTATGCAATTTACGAAATTATATTTGACTTATATGAGTTAATTTAGACTTAATGCACGTTTTTTATAGACGGTTATTTCCTTGCATTGCAATTTAATGTGCTGCATTATTTTGTTCATTGCGCCCTCCTGTGGCTATGGGAGACAAGACAAATGTTTAACCTAATCTGCATATAAAACATTAGAAATTAAATATTTGTTTAATTTTTATTTTGTGTTTGACTGTTGGAAATTTTACTGTGTTTGTGGGCGGGCAAGTTGTTTGCGAGAACATGAGCAGACATTATGCAAAAGTGTTACTTCGTGACGTAGAGCCTAGGCCTAGGCGATAAAACGGTATCGATATTTATCGACGGTACACCTTCAATAATGATATAAAAAATTTTCGATATAGTGCACGATATAGGCACGTGCTATGAGTGACACAGACTGCACACACAAACACGAACATGAGTGCTGTGCCTCCCTGTGATGAGGAGATTGTGAGTAAAAAAAATGAATAGTCTAATTTAAAATAAACATTTGCATTTGAATGGATAAATAGTACAATCTATG